AACCAATAACAAATGATGGCGGTGTTTGGGGGAGAAAGGAACCCTTCTCCATTGTTGGTGGGAGTGCAGACTGGTGCAACCACTATGGAAATCAATATGGAGATACCTCAAAGAGCTGCGACTAGAGGTTCCATTTGATCCAGCCATCCCTCTACTGGGTATCTTTCCAAAAGAATTAAAGGAATCATACCTCAGTGATATATGTGCACCTATGTTTATAGTGGCACAGTTTGTAATAGCTAAAACTTGGAAACAGCCCATTTGCACATCAGTTGGAAATTGAATAAAGATGTGGTTTTTCTATAAAATGGATTACTCAGCCATAAAGAATGAGAAATTAGATTCATTCATAGGAAAATGGATACATGTTGAGGATATTGAGATACACTCCTAAGTGAAATAAATAAGTCACACGTGTAAATACCGAATAGTTTCTCTGGTGTGAAAAGCTATAATAGTACATAAGATCCTAATGAGATAATTGACCGTGTGAAATAGGAAGAAAAGGGCTAAAGGTGTAGGGAAAATGGGAAGGGTAGGGTAAAGGTAGTAAGGGAAAAGAAAAAAAATATGACAAAATGAAAAAACGGAAATAAAGTGTTTGTAAATGGGGAGGGGAGAAGGGGGTGAAGGGAGGGCACAGACAAGGGGAAAAAATGAGAACCAAGACCTGTCATGTAAAGGTAGAAGATCCCAATAATGAATTATATTTGCACTGTATACTTAAAATGTACCAATAAACTCAATAAAAGAAAAAATAGCAGCTGAGCCTCTAATATCACAGGTCTTCAGGGTTCCATGGTCCAATTAGAAGGACCACTTGCACCACAGTAGAGATATGCTGCATAACTCTTTCCTGCTTTCTGCACCAACTTGTGTCCAAGATCCCACAGCTATTGAATTATCAACATTTCTGGCCTCAGTTTCATCCAAAAAATTAACACAATTAGTATATACAAACTGCAATGTTTGTTTTAGTGGGTTACTGTGAAGATTGAATTAATGTATATGAAGCTTGCATATAATCTTTCAATGGTATGTTCTATTTTTGTTAACATTTGCCAAAATTTATAAACAAAATCCCTCATATCCCTATAAATATATATATTCTACGCTTAGAAACACAGGACTGTATTGTTTTCAATATGAACTTTACCATATTCTGCTGTAATTAAGCATATTTCTTTGATTTGCTTCAACAGAAATTCAAAACCCCTTGTATTTGATGAAAAGCCAAACCTGGATATGTGACTGTTAGCATGTAGTAAGTGACAATGGACTAACAGGTAGAGGGGCTATTGGATAGTCTCTTCTACTCTGCTAGACTTTCTGAGATGCACTTTACATCACTCCTCAGGAAGTTCCTCAGGATCCTCAGTTGCCTACAGGGGTGACTAACTCAGTAACTCACTCCTGTATTGTTCTTCCTTCTCTTCCTAGTCCCCATTCTTGTTTAAAATCACAACCCAAATTACAGTAAGATTTCAGGCTCTGTCCTTTGTGGGAAGTTGAGCTAACAGTACCAGAACTAGGCAAGAAAACAAAGGCTCAGTGTGGAATTCTGCACCAGGATCATTCTCTAGTTACCCCACTGCTGGCTGCTAAGCTTTGGTATCCTTTCACTGGTGATGGATTTGAGGAAGACGTAGGTGGGAAACACTGATTTATATGGGAAGTAGTAGTATTTAAATGGTATGGAGAATAGTAAATATAAGGATCATGGGACTATTTGGTTTTCAAAACTGACTTTAGATACATTTAAAAAATTAAATGACACTCAGATTGGCCAACCACTGCTGAAAAGATATACTGCAAAGGTTAATATGCATCCAAGGCAGTGCTTAAAAGAACATTTTTCCAATGGCTATTATTTGAAGGTCAATGGTATTAAAGATCAGAATCAGAATTTACAGAAAAACAGATGTGAAAAATAAGGACATGGTCTTTAAAGCTGTGTGTGCAAAATAAAATGTTAAAATCAGGGATTAGGAACATTTGGGCACGAAATCTTGGGAAGTTTAAATCCCAAGGTATCCTTAACCCTCATGGCCCTCTTCTCCCTTGCTAAAGAAATCAGCCACTGCCTGGAAAATCCACACCTGTAGCAAATGCTTCCCAAAGTGATGCTTGTCCTCCCTTAGATACAGCCCCACCTCTTCTTACTGACCTGATATCTACAACTATAATCACATCACACTATACTATCTATACCAGAAGAAAATAGTTTACTCACCCAAAGAATTCTAAGATTTCAGCTAACAACTACAAACAACTAGAAACTAGAGAAACAAGTGGGCTGGGGACCCAAATAATTGATGCGATGGCACTCTCTAGTAAATCAAGATTTAAAGTCATTAGCAAGGAGTCTTGGAAGCAGTCCTAAGATACTTCTGTGATGACTCCTTGAAATTCGGTGTTGTAGGTTTTGTTTCTTGAGAAAAAGACTCCGAAATGGAGTTTAGTGAGCAGAAAACTAACAGTGAGTGTGTTTGAGTCAAACCCTGTGAAATAATTGAATGGAATTAGGATTGGGTTGGGAGAGGAGAGGTAAAAGTAGTTCAACAAAAGCACCCTAGGAGTGTAGATAAGGTTCAAATTGTATAACTGATAATGTGAAATAGGAAGAAAAGGGCTAAAGGAGTAGGAAGGGTAGGGGGAAGGAAAGGGAAAAGAAAAATATGAGAAAAGGAAAAAATGGAAACAAAGTCTTTGTAAACAGGGAAGGGTGGAGGGCTTGAAGGGAGGGCAGGGGCATGGGGAAAAATAAGAACCAAGAAAATCATGTAAAGGTACAAGATCCCAATGATGAATACAAATGTATTGTATACGTAAAAAGCACCGATAAACTTAATGAAAAAAAAAAGCACCCTAAGAACTCTGAAGATGGTATGGCCTTTGAACAACTAAAATGGGCTAAGATTAGGATAACCACACACATGTCCAGGAATTGGATATAGGTTGCTTCTAAGCTTAAAATGCTAGTATATACACAAAGACATCATACTGGCATGAAAAGGCAAAATTGCTTCTCCCCAATGGAAGGCAGGAAGACACTTGTCTGGGACTGAAAATCTCATGTTTCTTTCATGCCTCTGAAAACAAACATGACCTACCAAGTGTAAAATGTCTTATTGTAATAAAGGTCTGCCATCTACCCTCAGGGAAGGAGCCTAAGCCATGGTAACATACTAATACAAAGCTGAATTCATTCTGGAGCATGTGATGTTAGAGGGAAGATGACAAATATCAATCATAGTCTCAAAACCAGTTAAGCAGTAGATTGTACTTTGGTTTCACTACTCCTAGTCCATTGTTGTTGAGATCACAAATTAAAAGGCTACGTTGAAATGGACTTAACAATGGACCCAAACAGAACTCAGTGGTACAACTAGTCCACTGTAGCAGAATATTCTTGTGTTCATTTCATGCCCTCAAGCTCACTTCTTCATTCTCACCATAAATAGTCTTGGCCACTTGATACATACAGGTATAACTTCATGAATTTTACTCAAGCCATACCAAGTTTCTTGCTTTTAGTCCCTCCAATCCTACTTTTCCACTATCACTATGTGGACACCTGCAGAAATTTGATTCATGCACAAATATTAATGGGAGGGAAAATGAATTAACACCCATGGAGTAATCCTTGCCTCAGGGAGATGGGCATCCTCAAATTCTCTCCTTCTTTGCAGGTTTATGCCCCTGTAAACCCAGAGGCAATAAGCACAGTAAGTTCTGCCTCTCTACTTCATTCTTCCTAGTCACCCATTTTTCCTGGGATCATTTATCCAAATAAACTTGCCTTCATCTCTGCTTTTGAAGATAATTATTTCGTGAGATTGAGTTTCTTATCGCCACTTCACCAATGAGTGTACATTTTGCCAACTGTTACAACAGTGAATGCCAGGACACTTGGTGAATGTCTTTGATGCTCTATCCTAGGAGGCTTATTAAAAAGGTAGCTACTATAAACCCAGAACTTCAAGATTGACTTCACAGGTTGAGTATTTTTGGAGGGCTCATGAAAGACTGGACAACATAAAGTCTCCTGCAAAGACATAGTTCTTAGGGTCAGCAATAGGTTCACACTGAATCCTCGGTTTAAAAGGCTGAGTCAATAGGTACTGAGCTTTGGCCTAAAGATTTCTGTTGATATTCTGTTGATAATCTGTCACTGTCTTCCCAAGCATTTAGTAAAATGATCTGTTTCACTGTTAGAATGTTCTGAACCATGCCCCAACTTGTCATTTTCCAGCTGAATATTACCATAGTTTGCAGAATTTTTAATTATTTCACTGTGTAACCTTTTCTTCCCCACCCTCTTTCCAAAATCCTAAGATCTTTTTCTAACTGAAATACTTCAGCATCTTGTGTCACAAATAGATCTGGATTGTAGTTTCTTTGATGACCGGAGCCTTGCCTTTCATCATTATATCCCCCACAGGAACTTGTTCATAGAGAGTACCTAAATGTGGTTTGAATGAATTTACTCACGGTCTTGGCAGGTGTTAACTGTAGAGTGTGGGCAGTTCTGGTAACAGCTTATCAAATGGTTGTCTATCAATTTAAATACCAATAACCTTTATCAAAGACATCAATTTAGCATTTGTTTTTTAATGATTTTACATGTCCAAAGGTCATCAGGGGAGTTCTGGTCATCCAAGTCACTTAGAGATCTAGAATCAAGGGCTCCATTTCAACATATGCTCCCATGATCACCAATGCACAAGAAAATGAACATAGCAAATCATATATTGGCTTTTCAAGTTCTACTTAGAAGTGACATATGTCCATCTGCTTGGATTTCTTTCTGGCAAAGAAAGCCACAGAAATAGATTAAAAAACTATTTCTAAACAATGCTCTTGTTTAATCATTTTTGTGAGGAAAAACTGTAGCATGAATTTGCCTAAATTACCTTGGCTTCCTAGTTCACTTTGTAAGAGGAATATCAACCTAAAAGCAGAAACTTTCACTGCACAAATACAGAATCAAAAACCAAGACAAAAGTATGCAGTTGCAAAATGGCCATTTATTGCCTACAGGGAAGGAGAGGGAAGGAGAAAAGGAGAAATACACAAGTGCAAGGAAACAAGCATATATTTAGCCCTATACATCATGTGTGAGCAGTACCCAATCTCCGAAATGGAAAAAAGTTATTTTGTCATCTGACAGCAGTTAAGGTTCTTAAGCACCTCCCTTCTGAGCTGCCACAAGATATAAAAGGCAGGACTGCTTTGTTTAGTCAATGTTCACATTAATGAAAAGATGCTACCACCCAACTGTCCTTTTACACACACATTTTGTACAGTGTCTATTGTGAAAAACATCTCAGCTGAGCATTTTGGTCAAGATTCAGACTCATTATTGTTTAATAGAAAAATAAAGCAGCTGGTGATTTTGTCACAGAGAATGTGTTCAATAAGAATAGACCCACTCTCCAAGGATGACAGACAGTGCTAAATGTTTAAAACACTACAGAACCAGTCTATTAAACATTAAACACTAGCAAGCAACAATTACATGGCACGTTATTAAATCATCTAATTGTTAAAAAATGTTAGATCTTAAACTAATTATTAGAACATAATAACAAATTGATTTAGTGTTTGGCTTTTCTTCAGACAAAATCAAGGTCTTCTAAAACAATTTGTTTTGGAATAGCATTAACAGAAACGATCAAAAGTGTTCAGGTGAAAAAGTACTAAATACCTTGCTCAATTTTAAAATCATGTGCTTTGCTTTCTGACCATTAGAATTAGTTACAAAAACATTTTATAGGCTATAGAATGAATAAAATGTATGCAAAACAATGAATTAGCTAATTTAATGCCAGGTAATGAAAATAAATGGACTCTTCCCTGCTCAAATGGTAAAGTGTGTAGAAAGAAGTATAGACAGCCACATGGAAAATTAGTTGGCACTTACTATTTGGTTGAAAGAAATCACAACAAAAGATTTAAATTACTCCATAGTGAATTTGACCAAACACCTGGGCCCTTTAAAAGAGAAAACATAAGTACATTCTCTTAAAGGGGGGACCCTCTATATTACCCCACTTCAGAGGTAAAAAAGTTGAAATGTTTGCCTTTATTGAAATACTGCAAATACTCCTACTGAACTCTGTAACTCAGCTTCTCTTTGATGAAAGAATTGTTTGCGCTTAGACAACTGTACCAAATGCCCACAGTGCACTTCTCAGTGCTGCTGGTGTTTAAGAAATTTGCCACTCACCACTCACAACACTGAACAATTCCAGATCCAGAGTGCTGTAACACAGCCATCTAAACCACCCCACCCTAAAAGTTGGCAGAGCACCGCTCAGGAATTTCACAGGTAATGGAATATATTTTTAGCAAGTCAAGCACAGAGAAAGGACAATATAGTTTCTGAATAAATATTAACCAAGATACTGTATCAATCACACTGCATCAAGACTGAAACAAGTAGCAGGTTACTAAGCCTGTTGAGTAAGAAGCAGTCAATGACACATCAATGCTGAGCCAATTTTGTGAGTTCAGATAATTACAGGCAAATTAAACAAATATGGTACATATACTAGTAGCTTCAAAGAAAATATCACTAATTTAAAATTAACACAAAACTGAAATGAGCAAGAAAGGACCACTTCTGAAAAGATTACTATGATTCTTATGCTTTACAGTTAAAAGTAACAGACACAGAAACAAATTATAACGGAAATTGTTATAAAAGATTAACTAGTAGTAAAAGCCAAATTATGCCTTCTAGAGTCTGAAAGCCAAATGTACCACACTACTATGCCAAGAGTCATATCATTTGGTGTTTGCATGACCTTAACCTAATGTGATTTACATCTGATTATACTTCTAATTTCAGAAAACTACTCGGTTTGTATGATGTGCCATAAAAATTAACATTTAATAGACATGTCCTTAATTCATGCCTTGAAAGCAAAAACACTTTTACTTAAAATACTCTATTACTTCAATGTCATGGTTGATGAATGAAAATCTTAACATGCTTATTTTCCTTTGGTCTAAGAATAATTCAAGTCTAACCAAACTTATACCAAAATATATTTCTTGTTATTTCCCTATTTCTTCCTGCAGGACTTTTAACAGAAATTTTGCATAAAGAAGGTATTTGGTTAAAACAAGAAATATGCATGCTCTTCCTTACCTCCTTCTTGAAAACCATTGTGGTTTTTGTTTTGTTTTGCTTTCTTCTTTCTGTGGCTCTTGTTCAGAACATCCTGTAGTAATTGATGTAAGGGCTTTCTTTTTACCCTTAGCTTTTAGGTGACAATTATGAAAAAATGCCCTGGGAATCCTATTCTTAAACAGATTACAACTTTGGTCAGTGAACCAGGTTAAAAGACATAATAATTTGCTTATTTTTAAATTTGAATTTGGTGATCATGATGGCATTACAAAATTACAATCAACCAATGCAAGCATAAAAGCTCCCACCTGTTTACACATTCAGAACTTAGTTGAAGTTCCTGCCTTAGAAAAATAATTAACTTTTCTAGTTAATTTGCTACTTATATTTCACAGAGTTATAAAAATGTCATGTAATTCAAAAGGAAAGGAGGTAAACAAATCTCGACACATAAGAAAGATGTTTTTAAGAGAGGAAGGCAGGTAGGAGAAAAGAGAAAACCTTACAGATGTGAAAATTCACATTTCTGTCAAAATAGATGCATGACTCATTCTGAAACATACCATAAAGCCTTTGTTATAAAATCATTACTGTAGCAAAAACTGTTCATGTTTTTCTGTGATTGTAGCTACTGATCAGTCAGCATATTTTGCAAAGTTATTCAAATATATCAAACAGAATATAAAGCTTAGAATCAAATAAGTATTGGGACACAGTCAATTTTTAATACTAGAAAATTGTATTAGGAATGACAAACCATATACTGTACCATTGGTTCCTTCAAAGAACATGTTTAACTTTTTTCTCCTTGTGCTTTCTTCTTGCTATTTCATATTGGAAGTATAGATGGCATTAGTGATTTTTAGACATTTTTGGAAATGCAAATACAAATTTTCACCCATTTAACAATACGTACTTAGGAGGCAAAACACAGTATGTTTGCCCATGTTCCAATTTTAATGTCACAACCTCCACTCTAATCTGTCATAGAATCAAGTGATATGAGTCTTAGATATCTTTCAACTTTCTCCTTTTCATCTTTGTAATTTAATAATATAACTTTTAAGACATCAAAAAAAGGAGCAAATAAGAAACAGCTTTATATTTTCTGCAAACTATAACACTAAAACACGGTGGCTTTTTAAATACATTCACACAGGATGCTTATTAGTAAAATTAAATATCTGTCTATGAATATCAGAAAAGTAATTTGAAAAGAAAGAGCTTGGAAAAGGCAAATGGGAGGGGGGAAAGCTGGTCTCAGAACCCATTGTGCCATACCTGACTTCAACATGTGATATTCAAATGAAGGTTCACACACCTTACACTAAAGAAATGAAACAAAAATATTTAGCTATGTTGTACAAAATTTTTTTACATAAAACATCATAAATCTTCAACAGATTTACTATATCTGAATTCTAAAAAGTTGCCTATAGAATGGTGCTGGGATTCTGTTCTCTGCTTGCTTTTAGGCAGTGCTGTTGCTTAAAAGTTGACACCAGGCACAATATTTTAAAACAAAGTCAACAAGCAAGGAGCAGTAAGTGGATTTGAGCCTTTTTCAGACGTCAGTCCTGAGGATGCTGCAATATTCCCCATTAAAATATGTAAAGCTATGAGGCAGATACTGATGCCGGAGTGGATGACTTCACATGCACTTGTATGAGTGATAATGGCAAACAGCGAAATTTTCCCTTCCTCAAACACTGTTTTAATAAATTTAAAGAACACTCCAATTCTTAAATATCAGAAATCATGTTTGTTTTAAATCACAATCTAAAAATGCCCAATTTTCTCTTATGTTCACATAAAATATGCAGCAGCCCAATGTCATAAAGCTTAACTTATTCTGAGAACTAAAAAGTAGAAAACAGATGAGCATAGATATTTTACTTTTGTTGAATATTTACTGTATATCATTCACCTCTTCCTTTGGCTTCTTGCTGCCAAAGTTCCAAATGGCATGCATTTTAACAAGACAATGCTGGGGACAGCAGCACTTCTGATCATCTGAACTGGCAGCCCAAAACAGATACCACTCCTTTTACAAAGGGAACAGAGGGTGAAGGGTGCATGAAATTTGGGCAGTGTGGGCTAAAGGGAAACCGTGCACATGAAATTTGGGTTACCATGCCCCAAGTGTGTGCGTCACCCAAGACATAACACACTTACTTCAACAAAATTACTACCAACATTCACTAGAACCACATTAAAAGTACACAGGATAATGACTGGTTTGAAAGAGTGCATTTGAAAGCAGAGAAAACCCAATTACACACCTTCCTGCAACAGAGTGCCTCAATCATACACAAAATAAACTTAAGCTGTTTACAATGTTTCCCAATTTTTTTTATTTTTCCCTCTACATTTAACTATTAAAAAAGTTTTTTATTAATAAATGGGCTCCTCTGTGGTTCATATACAATCATAAGTGAACTTTAAATTCCATTTTATACAAACATCTCAAAAATATTGGGAGTGAAGTATGGTAGGAAATATTGCTCACATTGCTAATTAACATGCACATATGACAGGAGGAAAATGTTTTGTTAGTGCATATACCTCCCAGCAGAAACCCACCCAAAATAAAAGACCCAAAATAAAACATACAGTAGCTGATTACAAAAAAGGTAATGTCCACAAAATTAAGTTTTTCATGCTATTCTACTTTCCAGTACTATGCTTCAATTTGCATGGCTAGATGTTGGATGCTTGAGGTATATAAGGAGGGGTACCTGCACATGGAGGAAAATCTGTTGTTTTAAGGGTTGTTTTTTGTTTATTTATTCTGATACTTTTAAGATATTTAAAAGAATATTTTATTTACATCAAACTTCACTGAACTACAATGACATTCCAATTATAACAGATGACAAACAACGCCTCTATCACTAGGCACTTTTAAAAGGGGGTTTAGGCTTTACAGAACCCTTCTGATACAATCTCATACATGTTATTTTTTACATCACCCCACCACCCTCCTCCCACTAAAATTACCCTTTAGGGAAATATTGTCATAAATAGCCTGAATGATTTATGCAAGAAATTAGTATGAAATGACCAAAGGAAATGCATCATTTAAGACTAAAAAACAACCTAACATGTCATGTTTGAAAGAGGACAAATTGTATATATTTAAAACTAATTAAATAATTTAAATTTGACATACTTTATATATTAGCGAGACACAAATATAGGCTATTTTCTTTTAAAATTTCATTCACATAATGGAAAATTTGTTTATTAAAAATATCACATTTTGAGACTAGAAACAGTAAAGTGCATGAAAAGTTTAAAATATAAATTTCAGAAAATTCTTATAGCAGCAAAAAAGCAGAATAAAGAAAAACTTAAAAATACAGACACAACCTTTTCCTGTTACTGTGCCATAATTAACATCAAGTAGGCAATCAATTTTTTTCCCCAGAAAACAGTGTTATGTTCACTGCCTCTCGAGCCACCAATTTTCAAATGGCCCCTCCTGGGCAAAAAAAAAAAAAAAAAAAAAAAAGAGAGACGGGGGCGGGGAGAGAAAGAAAGAAAAGAAAAATTCCAAAATATTTAAAGGCATCAACAGTTGATAATAAACCAGTAGCTTAATTCAACCCTGACAGAAAATGAAACAAAGATTAAGAGCATATGATAGCCATTTGGCAACTAGAGTCAGGAAAAATGATCCAAGGTTTTCAACTACTGTTCCCAAATCTATTCTTTCACTCCTTCAAATCATTTCCACTGTTACCTGAAAAACCAACAGACACCTAACTTACTTAGGGAAACACGTGAAATATTTGTATGGCTTTCCCCTTTTAAAATTTTGATCGGGGCTTCTTATTCAGCAGATTGTTAAACATTTGACTGTAATGGAAAAAAATGATACAGATCATATAGTATCTCTTTTTCCAGTATAACCAGAGAGAAAAGCATAGGTAAGAATATAAAAAAACATCAGATGCTAATTTTGTGAGGATTTTAAATATACCAAATTCTGTCTTCAAGATATATGGTAGTAAACTACTTGCTATTTCCCTACAAATGAATTGGAGAGACAGGCTTAAAAATAATTCTAAAAAAGATATTACTAAACAGGGGAACAAAAGAGTGATTCCTCAAAATAACCAATGAATCTCCAATAAACTGTCACAAGCTATTAAATGCTTGATTTTGAAGGCATACTGTGCAATCAACCTTTAATTTCCCAAGTTTTCTTCTACCTAGAGGCTATATTGTAGTTTATGTACAGATCAAAAAATTTAAGTGCTTTGTTAATGCGCAAATGACTTGGGGAGCCAAAAGCCAGAGTACCATAAAGGAAAACAGAAATTTTTCCCTGCAAGGCAAGCCATTCCTCAATCTAAAATCTTGTATTTATAGTTTTTAAAATTTCCTTTTTATACAACGATTGGCTCATCTGAAACCATTCACAAAAATATGTTTTAAGAAAGCAAATACAATGTTCTTGGGCTTCAAATTGGTGATTTATCAATTATGAATACTGACAATTATGAATATAATTAGTACAATTTAAAAACATGTTAAATTAAAATTTTGGAAAGACAGTACTACTATTCTGGTTCCAACCCTAGTGCCAAATGATATCAGTATGCATAAATGTACAAAGTCTTATAGCAAACATATAATGAAAGGAACCTGAAGAAGCAGCTTAAGGATGGCCATACTTCACTCCTACATACTTTGATTTACAACTGTACAGGTCCATAGCAACAGGTCCCCGTCTTTGCGGGGTAGTACTCCACTACCTCCGATTAGGCAAGTGAACACCATTGACAAGAGGCAGGACTGGAGGGTGGAGTTCAAGTTGTGTTAACAGTGAGAAGTGGTCTGAAGGGATGTGAGGGTGTGGACACCCAGTGATGTTGTTCTCAACCAGCCATTGAGGATCTAAAGGCCCCAGGACACCAAGCACGTTCATATGAGTCTTGGAATAGAAAATGTAGTCAATCACACCCTGGAAAGACATTGGGGATTGGGAAAAAGAGAAAAATACATACTTAGAAAAAAAAACACTACATATAAAGAACAATCCACAATTTGTAAAAGCCAAATAACCAAGAAACCTGTATTTCTGGTGCCTGGTATCTTGACTGTGGGTAAACAAAGCTCAAATATTCAATGGGTATCACAATAGAAACACACCATATCCTACTGAATCAGATAGCCTTGCATTTGTGCATAAGTGATAAATACATTGTGCACAGATGAAATGAGCCTGCTTGGCTTAGTGATAAGCTTTATAGAAATTACTGTGACAAAAAGTAGAAAATAATATTCATATAGTTAATGAAAAGATAGGACTTAAATTCCTTTAATGAGAATTAGAATTATATTCAATTATTTACACATCGAGACATTCAACCACACTCAAAGCGCATCATGAAGCCTGTTTCCAGATTTGTAATCATAGTTCAGTTTTCCCAGAATTGCTACATACAAACTACTATGCACTTAACTATTCTATTCTGTGATTTAGTTTAAAAATACTAATTTTTTACAAATCCTGATATGCTATACATTCTGGTTTCCTTGTTATAAAATACGTAAGTAAAAATCATTTAGCAGGGACCCACAGATACAGTTGTATCTCTCTGAGTCAGATGATTTACCAATGTGGACTTGATTGTCCCACACTGTGCATGTAAGACAGCAAAGTCAAATTTCTTCCTAGACAGTTCTTACCTAAATCAAGTGACCAGAAACCCACTTAGGGAGAAAAATTTCTACTCCTGAAACTATCTACTCATAAATACTATACAAGCCAGGCATGTTGGCACATGCCTGTAATCCCAGCACTTGGGAAGCTGAGATAGAAGGATTGCTGCAAGTTTGAGGCCAGCCTGGGCTACATAGTGAGTTCAAGGCCAACCTGAACTAAATAGTGAGAGGCCTTATTTAAGAAAAAAGACAAATACTATAGATAATGAATTTTGATCATATTCAGAAAGGAAGTTATGGATTAATCCAAAAGAAGGGCTAATCATTTTTAGCCTTTCTGACTCAGTTTCTTTTTAAAAAGACTATAATGTGGGAAAATATATTTCGTATGTTAGTAAAAATTACCCTGTGTAAGTCTGCAGAACTTGAGAAAAAAGTAAAAACAAAAGAATGGTTTATGAGCTAGTATAATATTAGCTTTGTTTTTTAAAAGAATGTGAGAAATTATAAATTTCATAAGGTAACAGGGAAAGGCTTATTACCTGACATAATGGAGAGCTGTCTTTCCTCTTTTCCTTAAATGACTCACACCTTTAGACTGGATGAGGGTGCAGAGTGAGGAACAGCAGCAAGTTTGAATTAGTTTTATTAAACTAACGTGGTCTGCAAGTCATGTTGAGAAGGGCAATTCTCTTAACTGCTTCTCTATCACCCCAAACCAGATCTAGAGCAAATGACTCTGGATTCTAAACACCATTTATTCAACAACCAAGAAAGTAAACAAATGTTAAGCCAACTAAAATTAAACAACATCCCACTGAAACAATGGCAGAATACTGTGTTGGGATCTGTATTTAATGCTGATCATACGACATTTTATACTTGATGTTACCTACTCTTCTGTACTGACTGCTTTTAACACGGGTATAGCACTTGTATAAAATGCTCTGTATAAACCTGAAAAGTTCATTGTCTACTGCTTCTACTAAAAGCTCAATTCTCTAGTAAGATGGGCCCTTAATTCATTCTCTAGACATTTTTCCTATCTCATTTCATCCTCCCATTCATCAATCCAGCTAACCTATGTATCTTTCATATTTTTCTCTTCCCTAGTCATTTCTAGCTCTGTCCTGTCTCATCCCCTCCTATATATCTAAATATCACACACTCTCTGAGCCAGGTATCTCTGTTCTAACTACTTCTTTGGACCATGTAAATGACTCAGCATGATTATTGATCAATTATTAATATGTATATAATGAAGAAAAATCAACAAAGAATTTTAGACCCATCCAGGTGAATGATAAAGATGACTTAGATTAATATACAAAATTTTTTCAATCCCTGGTACCAAAAAAAAAAAAACAAAATTTACTCTTATTTTTACTTTATAGACAAGGGAAAAATGACCTTTAAAAAAAGCGAGGAAGAAATAATATATATTTTCTTTTACCTACATACATGCCAATAACACAATTGTAGAATTTCTGAACATTTATTTTTGTGAATTTTCATTACAGGTATTTCTGGGTTATGCTGGAACATTATATTACAAGGATAGGATTTAACTTACAGTAAATTCTATTATTCAGTGTAGAAATGTTTAAGATTACACAAAAACAGTGGAGTGCTAGAGCTGGATAGTACCCATTAACTTTGTACCCCTTCCCACTCACTGTATTCAAAGGCATCATGTTGGGACTTTGGAATCTACAGCAATGAAAGTACTTAAACCACAGAAATCAGCAAATAGTACAAATCAGGGCTTCTTTCCCTAGAAAGTGAGCTATTAAATATTAAGAGCACATCACTGCATGAGTAATTGAACCAAAATACACAATCACCAAATACAATTATCTAATAGCAAAAATACTAAATTAGATTCATCTTTTAAGCAACTTACTCCCCACTTCCTGACTACAAAAGCTGATTGATGAAATCAATTAATGAATCACCTTTCTAGCTCTTCTTGTTTCTTGGAAAGAAGGATACTGAAGATGTGAAAGAGCCCATTTTGTAAATTCCTTAGGTATTGTATTAAATCTTCTCTAGGATTCTTTTATCAAACAACTTTCTAATATTGCCATGTTTTGGGGATAGTATGGGATATTAGTATAGATTCCTGAAATGCCAGAATGTCAAATAGAGGTAAAGCAAAATAGGAGTGCTCCTGATAGACAAACTGAACAGAAAATAGGCAAAAAGCAACACAACTTTTTAAAAAGTAGCTGGTCCTGTGCAATGGGCCCTTCAAATTATTTTTGTATTTTTGCAAAAAAAGTGTCTTTTCCTTCTTTAAAGCTGTGAAATCGGAATATATTACTAAGACTATATGGATATAAGATAGATATTAAATACAAACTTCTATAATTAACTATATGCCTAAAAGAAACTTCGAAAAATTTAAAGATATATAAGATTAGTAGAAAGCAGTAATAAAATTTTGACAAAATACTATATAAATTCTTTAAAGATGAACACAGCTATATCATGTGCCTATTATTTGGATTCTTGTTGAAAATTAGGGATGGTATGAATAATTATACCACTATATACTCAAATGCTTTAAACAGTACCCTGCACATAGTAAGCATTTATAAATATTTACCAGTATTATTTGAACTTGAACAAATGAAGGTTCAAAATGAATTCTCAAGACAACACTAACCATCACCTAACAAATTTCTTTATGTTTGGGTGTATATGTAGACTAGACATTTTGAGAACTTGAAAATTCGAGATTATATAATTAATTCCAAAGAGTTTACAGTTTTTTGTCACATGCTTGCATATGTAATAATTTCTATACCAGCCCAGAGGCTGCTACTCACTTTGAAATCAAAAGTGTAATTGGTGTAAGGCATCAAGTTATTTTCATAGGCGCTCTTAAGTTGGAAGCCATGTGTGATTCTCCCTTCTGAGCTTCCATTCTTTCCATTGCAGCTGAAGTTCATAAGACACTCATTGTACCTTAGTTCCTTGAAGTCTTTATGGTTGTCAGCTACTCCTCCATTGCTTAAATATTCCACAACACCTAGTAGAATAAAGTAAGGATCTTTTAGCATTTTGTTCTTATGTAAGACTTGTGCCACATAGAAGCACCAGATTCAGCATAGTTTATTAGGCTGTATCATATGAAACTGTATTTTTTTCTTGTTTTAAAAAACCAAGTGTCAGCTAGGCATGGTGGCACACACCTATAATCCTAGCACACTGGAAGGCTGAGGCAAGACAACTTTGAGCCCAGCTTGGGTAATTCAGCAACTTAGCAAGACCCTATCTCAAAATAAAAAGGCTAAAGATACAGCTCAGTGCAAAGGCTCTGTTAATTCCCACTAACACAAAAACAACAACAACAAAAAATCAAATATCAAATTGGAAGGTATCTGCCTAGCTCTAGAAAAAGTATCAATATCACCCAGGAATATGTTCATTTTTTTAGTGGTTCTTTGGGCTTTTTAGATGATTTCCAGAGCTAAGTGGCATTCAACAGCAAGGTTATGACCTTAAGTAACCTTAAGAGAATATTAATCTAAACTACTATCTCTTTAGTATTTTCTAATTCTACACAAATCAATCAACAAGTTTGGGAATATAAGAGCTGTGACTAAAAACCACAGTAAATGTTTAAATTTTTAAAAATTTTATCACAGTAAAAGACACACTGCCATTAATCCCCCTCAAAATACTTCCCTTTGCTTTCAACAGATTTGTCTCATTCTTGCCACAATTTGAAACAATTCTAGAAGAGCTCTTTCCTGAGTTGTCAAAAATATAAAAAAACAGGCACACAATAACATTATGGTGTTGTCCTCATCTACCTGGTTGAACAGATTTGGCAGTGTACAACTTCTGGCTCTTACCCACAGTCAGAATAACCATGAAAGGCAAGTGTTTTTAATTGATTTGGAACAAGACAGCCACAGCACAACTAAAGACTCTCATTTACATGGTGTTACAAGTAATTTATTAGTAAGGTAAAAAGTCTTCAACATTTATTCTTACTTGGTTAATAACTTTGAGGACTTTGAGCAGGATGATTCACCCTCCCTTGTTTCAGACACATTCTTAAATAAAAAAAGATAAAATGATAAAAGCTAGTGTTCCATTGTATTGTCATGGCTTCCTCAATGCCCTGAAGAGATTCAAACATTTACCTTTCATAGTTATTTGACTTTGGAAAAAGAGCCAGAAGTCACATGGGGTGCCAGAATTAAGTAGTAAGGTGGATATACTGTAATGTTTTTATGAGCCTGCCTTTCCAATGGGTAGAATCTGGCAGCAGCGTTGTGTATTTTTTTTTTTAGGCACACCTTATAAAGACACTCACAAGAGGACTCCAAGGATGGATGTAGAAAGCGGCAAGAATGATGATCAGATCACTGTGATCAATAATGGGAGGGGTATAGCAAGAAGAATGAGTAACAATGTGTCTTTTGATATCTCATAACTAAAGCAAACATAACAAAAAATTTACAACAAAAACAGATGTTGCATCAACATTTTAATGTCCACAGTCAGCTAGACAATATCACTATTTTGAAATAGCATGGATTCTCTCAGTCTGACACTATTAAGAATCTTATATGTGAGAGATATACTAGCTAAAAATATTAGATGTTATATCTAAACAGTTGAAGTATCAACAATGTTCAAAAAGTAAGTTTCCAGTGAATTAGCAAACATGAAAAAATTACAATTCTTGTGATAATGAGAATTAATGAAAACTAATATTACAGTCTTCTCTATTTGTGACCAATGACAGCAAGATATAGTGAATAATGGACAATAACAGTATTGTGAATAGCTCAAAAGGAACTACCATTTATCTAGCAAATGCCAGGTACTATACATACTGTTAAGTGCTTCACATGCTTGAATTCCACAAATAACTCACTGATGTAGATAAAATGCTTATTTTATTAAAAACAAAGAATTTAGGGGTAAAGGTATGGCTCAGAGGTGTAGCACTTGCCTAGCATGCACCAGGCCTTGGGTTCAATCCCTAGCACCACACACACACACATACACACACACGTGCGCACGCACGCTGTACAAGAGGAACCTGGTCATAGATTGCACAGATGGTCAGTAGCAGAACTGGGATCCAACCCTGAAAGTCTGGCTCCATGGTCGGATAGTTACTTTTTGTGACCAATGAAAAAAATAACTCGTACTTCAAAGTAATTTAATTTAAAAAATATATTTAAGAAAGGAGGAGCCAACTGACCTAGAGGTCAGAAAAAAAAATTTGTAAACAAAGATTTCAGCATTGATTTATTTGCTAAGGAGACGATGCTATTTAGCTTATTAGTAATTTTAAAAAATATTCCAAGTATAAATTTTTAGGTTTTTTCACATTTACTGTTGAATGATTATTTTAAATAGCCTAATTACAAAATTTAATTTAATTATAAATTTTACAAATAATTATGAAATTTAGAATTTTGGTAATAGCAAATTAATAGCATTTTAATGTTTTACAACTAAGAAATTTAGTATCTAAAATGAACAAATTAAAAAATTTTAGACATAAAGTAGTTCTGCAGTGGTCAAGAATATAAAATCCTAGAAGAACTCTTGATCATGCTAGATCTAATATTATTATTTAAATATAATTTAATGACTTTACTGAAAACTTGCCAAAGTTATTTAACTAGGTATCTGTGATATTTTCTGGTTGTCACTTCAGATTACTATTCTCCACTGTACTCTGTGCTTCAGGAAGCTGATCTTTATTGTAAAAATGGTAAACTCCATTCCCACAGCTGCTAGTTGGATGTGAACAATAAGCAGCATGGCAGATCAGTGAACAAGAACAGTTAGGTAGGGGTATATTTCCCTCTGGGTTCCTTTCCTGTTGGTCTGGTAGGCACTGACTCCGTCCCATTACATAGCCTCTTCTACAACTGTAACTAGTTTTGCCAAGTTCTGATAACAGCTCCCATCATTTTCCCCCTTAGGAGCAGGAGTGGCAAAGAGACAAGAATTCCCCTGTTGGCAGAGTACTGAAGTATACATTTTGTTTCCAATAACCCTGACCACACCTTTAGAAATAGTTTCTTTATTAAACATTCCTCAGTTACCCATTGTCCCAACCCTGGAATCTTCACTAATATACTACTCCCTAATTTAGAAGAGAAATCTCTAATCAAAAGTTAGAGGAGGGGGCTAGAAATGCAGCTCAGTGGTAGTGTGCTTGCCTAGCATGCATGAGGCTCAGGATTCAATCCCTAGAACACCCCCTCAACATACACAATTAGAAAACAGCTGGCTTTTCAAATAAGACTAAAAGCAAAATTGAAAGCAAGGAAGAAATGATGTTATATAAATACCTGAATCTGGCAATGAGTTAAGATCTGCACATAGCACCAGCGGGATGGAATTAGGATCTGCAGTTGGGCTGCCAGGCCTACTTGAGGCTTTTTCCAGAATGTTTTTAACCTCTGAGACAAACATCATGGTCTGGATGAGTTTCACATCAGAATACTCTGGGTCCCAATGCATGTGGGCATTTGCCACTATAAGCAGCTGTTTTTCTGCAGCATGAATAGGCTTCACACCTACATTGAAACATAAAAAATAAAGTTATGCTTTATGTTTCAAGAAAAGTGGTATGTTAAGGTTTTCTCAAAAAGATCCACAGCTACATCCTTACCCTCCTCCACGATTGATCTTTTATCTCAAACTAGTTCTTAGAAACCAAAGTGCTGAGATTATGATAACTCTAATATGGGAATTACTCTTGGAGATCAAACTGACAAGTGGTAACCCATGAGCTAAATCTGGCCCACCATGTGTTTCTATACAGCCTATGTAAGCTAAAGATGGTTTTACACTTTTAAAGGGTTCTACTACAATACCCACCCCACACACACACAAGTACTGTGATTAAGACTGTATGTGACCCATAAGCCTACTTACTATTTAGCCTTGACAGAAAAACTTTGCGGATCCCTGATCTATATGCCCAAGTTAGGAATTTTATCATGACATAATCAAGATTTGATTATAGTACCTTGTATTTGCTGGGTTCTTAGTATAAGCAAGTGCTTTTAAATATCTCTGTCATTTAAATGGCACAATGACCTAGTGAGATAGGTTTTTAATTATTTGAGTCACCTAAATTATCTGCACTACCTAATACTCGTTCATTGTGCATTTCCTAAACCTAACTATGATAGGTCAGTAGTAAAAAGCAGTAGCATTATATTAACCTATACAAAATAAAATAAGTAAATTCACTACCCAAACAAATCATAGCATACATATAAAGTTACTTTAAAACTGAGAACTAGGGTACAGTGTATTCTTGAAAGTTTGCACGCTTGTGATTTAGGCCTGACTTTTTTACTAATTATTTGTGGTGTCTTGGGCCAGTCCCTTAACTCCTCATGTTTATATGGAAAATGAAATAACTCAAGTAAAAAAAAAATATCTAAGTCCCCCAATTCTATGTTTAATTATGTCAAAATAAAATCAAAACAGCACTTTCCAAGTGGTGAAGCAACAGATAATACATTAAAAACTGAAAAGTACACCAAACATAGGGCCGGGGATTTAGCTCAGTGGTTCCGGCACCTGCCTCACAAGCACAAGGAACTCAGTTCGATCCCTGGTACCAAAAAAAAGTACACTAAACATATATCTACAGAAAGATGTCTATAAAATATTCAAGGAATACAGCTCAGTTTGCATGGTAGGATCTGTATAGAGAAAAGAACAGGAATATTCCCAGAGAGTATGACTGAGATAGGGGGACATCTATCACTTTTCAATTTTTATATGCTTATGTACTGCTGAAATATCAGTGAAAATTCAAATTTAATTTTCCACATGAAGTTGTTATAAAAACATCCTTTGAAAGTTTCTACTGAAATATAAATGCTAGAGAAAAAGACCTAATTTTCTAAGCTATTTCGGTAAAGTTTCCTTCTAATATTACTGACATAATTATCTTCAATTTCGAGAAAACTAATCTATTATATGTGACAGGAATTATTTTTAATACAATTTGATCATAAGATAAATATTTGCAGCCAAAATCTCCTAAGCTGTTTTCCTAGAAGTTTTAAAGTTTCATTTGTGGCTGTAGATTATTCACTAAATAAAGCATTAAAAATTCATCCCATCAAAGGAGCCATAATGACTTTCTATACTACCAAAATCCCCTCCCAGGAGTACAAGAGATACATAGTTCACCAAGAAGTACCTACTATATAACTTAGAATTACTCTTCTGCAAATCAAAAAACAACATTCCAAAATAAATAAGAAAAAAAAGTACTAAAAGAAGAATGGGATTGTAAAGGACATAAAAAAAAGAATAAAAATGGCAAGGCTAAAAAAAAAGAAGACAATTCAAGTCCCAGAGAAAAGAATGTCTTCGTTAATGGATAAGAGGAAGAATGGCAGGAAAGAGGTTTGACATAAATGCATGGACTGAAAAAAGCCTTGAGGTAGCCTCACCTCCATGCTCTAGCTTAAATTATACCAGTAAACAAAGAAATTCTCAAAGGCAGGCAATAGAAAAAGTTTTTTAAAAAAAAGTCTGGATAATGCAAAGTACGTAATGAGTTTGACTCTGAAGAAAACTATAAATAATGCTAAAAGCTGAAGAAATATACTATGTAGATAAAAGATCCTACTTTTACCATGACAACGACTGCATTTTTCCTGTCTTTTTTTTTTTGGTTTTTTGAGACAGTCTATGTAGTTGAGATTGATGTGAGCTTACTAGGTAGCTGGGGCTGCCTCAACTTCCTGAATGCTGGTATTATAGGTGTGTGCCACCACACCCAGCTGACAATGACTGAGTTTTAAAAAAGAAATTAGGACTGGGAATTTAGCTAAGTGGTTCCCTGCCTGCCTAGCAAGTGCAAGGTCCTGAGTTCAATCCCCACCCCTACCGGGAAAAAAAAAAAAAAAAAAAAAAAAAAAAAAAAAAAAAAAATATTAAAGGAAACACGGCAAGAATTAACCTTAAAGAAAAAGGTTGACACTCAAGAAGCTAAAAATATGGTTCAAAACAGGACCAGTTACTATAATTTCTAAATTCAGCTTAACCAAAATATTCCCTCTTTCAAAGAAACTTTTATATTAATGGCATATTGAAAGGATTTTATTGCTGCCTCCTGCCTCACAAGCACACGGTTTGATCCCCGGTACCAAAAAAAAAAAAAAAGATTTTAATTCAGCTACCTGATAAGTAAAAAGGACTGGCAGAAATGCCTCTCAAATTGCAAAAAAAACATGCTTTTTGCAATTAGTGCTTTTTTTTTTTTTTTTTGGCCATCTCATTTAACTTCCTCAAAAGAGAGTAATTGCAATAAATAAGATTCTCTTCACTTGTTTTGACATAAGAAAATGTGGGATAGTACTTATTTTTGGTAAGAATATTTTAAATTGCCCTTACCTGCTCCAAATAGTTCTTTGTGGACCTCTAATACCACAGCAACACCAATGTTATCTTTTGTCATCACTCTGTTGAGCATAGCTTCAGATCCATCTGAATTAGCCATTGCCACCTGGTTAAATTCTACTGTATGCTTCTGCACCAATGTAAATCTGAAAGATACAATGTATTATTTATGGTAACACAGGTACTTGGGACCATCATGCTAAAAGGCATTAAGAGAAGAGGGCACAATATACAAACAAACATCATTAATAATCTTGGTCATTTTCTAGCTACAAGTGGCCATGTGAGAGTTCAGGTCAATCAAACATTAGTCTGGTTTCTATACAAAACATTCCCAAATGCTTAGCAAAGATGGCATATGATATTCCCTTCCCTTTTTACATCTTTGTCCTTTTCAGCTGGTTCCTGGAGGAACAATAACCATCCTGTGACCATGAAGCAGTTGAAACAGTTCTGAACTGCCTATTTCTACACTTCCTATTTAAGAAAATCATCCTTCTTCCCATCTGCTTAAACTAGTATTCAGATTTTCTAGTATTTCTTTCCTTTGTAACAAATTATTTTAGAGTTGGAAGACTTAGTAGAATTAGTGTAGCGTCAATATTTAATAGCAGTGTGAACTTGGCCAAGCCATTTAAACTCTTTTACCTGGATTTTATTAATTTTGTGAAATAATTATAAAGAGCCAAACCCTGCTAAATAATACTTTCCACTGAGTGTTAAATCTTTGCCCTCATTAATGGTGCCCCCACCTTCTTCCCAGCTTTGAAAACAAAATTATAAATCCCTTAAAAAAATTGTTTAAAAGCTTACTATGCTGCAGAATGCTGTGCTAGATGAAATAACACTCCTCTTCCTGCTCCAATTCTGAAAGTCTCCAATGTATTTAGAAATGAAAGATCCCAGTTGTACCTATTTCTAATACAGAGTACTTAAAGGAAATATAATTTCTACACTTCACTTGAAAGAAGTAGTTTTTAAACTGAAATATAAAGAACAAAGAACTACCATGTGGTTAGGTAAAGAGCTAAACACCAGAACCAGACCAGGATCATAATAAGCCTTTATCATGGGAAGGATCTGCCAGGCTGTCTCTGAACAAAGGAGAGAAAGCAACATGGCAGAACAGCGAGCTTCTTTTATAGGAGTGGGGTGGGGTTGAGTGATGTAGTGGCTAGGGATTGAGGGATCTTGTGACATCACTAGCGGCTAGGAGGGAGCAAGTATCAGGTTACTCTTTTGGTGGGAGAAGAGGCATGATGGGAAGAGAAAGCTTGTCCTTTGTTGGGAGAAGTCTTTTTTTTTTTTTTTTTTTTTTTTGTGGTATCGGGGATAGAACTCGGGTCCTTGCACTTGCGAGGCAGGCCACCGAACCGCTGAGCTAAATCCCCGGCCCTAGAGAAGTCATATTTTAACATGGAGGCTGCCATTCCATGTGGCAGCCATCTTAAGGCAAGGGAAATCTAACACCAGGTAAAGAATAGGATAAAGAGCCTTTCATAGAAAAGAAATGAAAAGTTGTGAGATGTTAGCAAACAAGTTTGTAAATGTATGGCTCAGAGATGAAAGGAAGGGTTAAAAAATGCTGGAGATAATAACAACTAAAAGTTCTAAGTAAGGACATGACATTATTTTATTTAGTTCCCCCCCCTCAGTACCAGGGATCAAACTCAGGACCTTGCACTTATGAGGCACGTAATGGAACCACTGAGCTAAATCCCCAGCCCCCTATTTTATTCAATTTTTAAAGATAACACTAGCTACTCTGTGGAGAACAGATTCCAAGGCCTAAAATGAGAAGCGATCAAGTAGAGAAGCTTTTGAGGTTGTTTAGATGAGATGATGAATTAAAAAGTGAGCAGATTTAAAATACCTAACAGATAAGACTATCCTCCATATCAGATATCTTAAAATATTTTTAAGGAATGAAATTCTTTCAATTTCCAGTGAGACTTTCAAATATAAAATGACCAAAACAGTATGTTAGAATAAATAAATCACAGAAAACAACCTCTTTTGAAGAACATAAAAACCTGAAGGTTTAAACAACAAATAGTCTTGTATCAGTTTAAGATGGTATAGATGATAATTATAGTTGTGTATCAGTCTCAATATCCAAATGATTTCTATATTTTGTTTTGATTACAAAGTAGTAATAAAACTCCAGATTGAAAAAGACACACAGATATAAATAGTAAATAATGGATTTGCACAAAGAAAACCTAAAGAAGCAGGCAGAAATATATTTCAGAGATCTGCACCAAAACAAGTCAACTAAACAGCACATTAGGAACAAGTCACTCATTTCCAAAACAAAATGTGAAAAAAAAGAAAAAAAACAAAATGACTAAATGTGGTACTCTATTTGAAATGAGTGAACATTTTAAAATCATAGTTCAATTATTTAAATTTAACATTTATGGTATCTTCTAAATATTCACAGAACTTCTAAAGCTTATTTGTAAGAAACTACATTACATTTCTGCAAGAGAATCTAAAAATTCTGCTCAATAATAATATTTTTATTATTGGAACAATTTTACTTCTTCTCAAGTTAGGTCACTCTTTTTCTGCAGTAAGGAAACTCAGTATTGCACAGGTCTTCCTTAACTAAAAACTGCTTCCCTATATCTTTCTTCCACTTCCTCCATTAAAAAGTGTTAGATATTTTCTTTAAAATAATAGAGAATAAATTAATTTCTCTTTCAGGTGACATCCTTTTAAGTAAATGTCAATCATGTCAATGGACTTCTACTAGAAAGTCTTCTCCAGAAAAGAAAAGACCAATATTTACATGGTATTTGGGTAAAGAAAATTGTTTTAAAGGTGTAGGGAAAGTGGGGAGGGTAGGAGAAAGGTAATAAGGGAAAAGAAAAAAATAGGAGAAAATGAAAAAATGGAAATAAAGTGTTTGTACATGGGGAGGGGAGGAGGGGGTGAAGGGAGGGCAGGGACAAGGGGAAAAAATGAGAACCAAGACCTGGCATGTAAAGGTACAAGATCCCAATGATGAATGTAACTGTAATGTATGCCTAGAATGCACCAATAAACTCAAACATTTTTTTTTAAAGTTGTTTACTTGAACAGAAATTCACTTAAAGGTACAGCATATAGTATGGATATATTTTGTACCTCTGGAGTTGATGTGTAAGGGGCTTGGGTCACCAGTACAGTGATGTGAGAGCGGCTAGAACCTTTAAGAGTGGAGCCTAGGGGAAGGTGACTGGAGGGATCTCTCTCGAAGAGAACTGAACATTTTTGCATGTATTTATTGGTCATTTGTACTTCCTCATCTGGGAATCTTGCTAAGTTCTTGTAAAAAGGGTTGCCATAAAAAAGCAAGGCAGGCCCCTCTCCAGTCTCGCCCAGTTTCCTGTCTCACCATTTGATCTCTTTCTCCTACAGGAATTCCAGACGTATTAACCATCCTGAGGGCTTCACTAGCGTCACAATGATGCCAGGGCTCTTCTTCTAACACTGCAAGCTATGTAAACATCTTTTCTTTATAAAATACCCAGCCTGAGGTTTTTTGTTACAGTAATGGAAAACAGACTAATATAGTGCGCTACCTAGAACTAGGCATAAATGAACTACCATCGTATCATTTTTTACTGCATTTTGTTAAAAACTAAAACTACTCTGGAGACAGTTATATTAATTATAAGCCAAAAGGGAAATAATATGCACCTAAAAATTTTTACTCTTAAACCGGGTCTCCTCAGTCTTGCATCTACAGACTTTCTTATGAGAGGAAAAAGCTATTAAATGTTTATTGTAGAGATCTGGAAACAAAGAAAAAACATTTAAAGGGGCTGAAGATTTAGCTTGGTGGTTCCACTGCCTGCCTCGCAAGTGCAAAGTCCTGAGTTCAATCCCCAGATATGCACCTAAAAATTTTTACTCTTAAACCGGGTCTCCTCAGTCTTGCATCTACAGACTTTCTTATGAGAGGAAAAAGCTATTAAATGTTTATTGTAGAGATCTGGAAACAAAGAAAAAACATTTAAAGGGGCTGAAGATTTAGCTTGGTGGTTCCACTGCCTGCCTCGCAAGTGCAAAGTCCTGAGTTCAATCCCCAGAGTAAGGCAGCATCAGATTTTAGTCTTTATCAAGTTAATTATCATAAACACAGATTAATAGCCAGGCTATCAGACCAAAACACATATAAAACAATTATAGTAAATCAAGGTTCACTTTTAGGTACATTAGCCATGCTGGATTTTAATAACTTTTCCCCCTATTTTCTGTCTTTTATTTTGCACTTTATTTATATATTGGGTTTTTCATATGAGGAAAACCATATGAAATTTAAGCTTTTGTGTTTGATTTACTTCATTTAACATTATCTCAAGGTATACCAATTTTCCTACAAATGACTCAAATTTATCCATTTTATGACATAGTAGTACTCCACTGTGTACAAATACCACTTTTATAAATGCATCTGTTTAGGGACATGTACACTGCTACCAAGATTTAACTAGTATGAGTTGTGCTGCAGTAAACATGGGCATGCATGTACCACTGTAGTATGGTGTCTAACTCTTTCAGGAAGATACCAAGAAAGGGAATAGCCCGGTCAAATGGAATTTCTAGTTTTAATTTTATGAGGAATTGCCACACTGATTGTCATAGTGATTGTACCAGTTTACCCTCCCACCAAAAAATGAAGAAATGTTCCTTTTTCTTCCCTGTAACTCTGCAGCATATGTTATTTGATTGCTTGAAGATAGCCATTTTTCTTAGAATGAGGTGGAATCTCAGTGTTGTTTAAATTTTCATTTCTCAAATGGCCAGCACTGTTGAACATTTTTGCATGTATTTACTGGTCATTTGTATTTCCTCATTTGGGAAGTATTTCAGATACCCATTTTTTTTATTGGGTCTTTAAATCTAGGGAGGGATCTAATTATTTGGGGTTCTTTATATACTCATATCATATAGTCTTTTAAGGAATAACTGGCAAGACATTTTTCCCCATTCTGTAGGTTCTGTCTTCACTCTGTTGGCAGTGTCCTTCACTGTGCAGAAGCTTTTTGGTATGATGTCATTTGTGGATTCTTGGTATTTCTTGTGCAGAGTTCTGTTCAGAAAGCCTTTGCCTATAACTATGTCTTCAAGAGTTTTACTTTTTTATCTTCCAACAGATCAATATTTATTATTTATATTTATTATTTATATTTAGATCTTTGATCCGTTGTGCTTTTAGTTTAGTGTATGGTCCAGGTTCAATCTTTGGCATATAGACATGCACAGTCAGTTTTCCCAGCACTATTTGTTAAAGAGGTTATCTTTCCTCCTGAAAAAGTATTTGACCCCTCTTATCAAAGATAAAGTATGCCCAGAATTGTTTCTGCACCCACTATTCTACACCACTAATCCACAAGTCTGTTTTGGTTTTTGCAGGGTTTTGTTTTTTGCTTTTGCTAATACCATGGTTTTTTCTGGGTTTTTTTTTTTTTTTTTTGGTACTGGGTATCAAACTCAGGCCCCTTGCAAGGCAGGTGGCAGAACCACTAAGCTAAATCTCCGGCCTGATGTTGTTTTTATCACTGTGGCTTTGTAGTATAACTTAAGTCCAGGATTGTGACGCTTTCTGTTTTGCTCTTGTTGTCCAGGATTGCTTTTGCTATTCTAGGTCTCTTCTGGTTCCATATAAATCTTAGAATAGTTTTCTCTAGCTCTGTGAGGAATGCTATTAGTATTTTGATTGAAACTGTGTTAAATCTGTGTAATAGTTTTGGAAGTATGGTCATTTTCACTATATTGGTTCAGACTATCCAGGAGCAAGGCAGGTGGCAGAACCACTAAGCTAAATCTCCGGCCTGATGTTGTTTTTATCACTGTGGCTTTGTAGTATAACTTAAGTCCAGGATTGTGACGCTTTCTGTTTTGCTCTTGTTGTCCAGGATTGCTTTTGCTATTCTAGGTCTCTTCTGGTTCCATATAAATCTTAGAATAGTTTTCTCTAGCTCTGTGAGGAATGCTATTAGTATTTTGATTGAAACTGTGTTAAATCTGTGTAATAGTTTTGGAAGTATGGTCATTTTCACTATATTGGTTCAGACTATCCAGGAACAGGGGCTATCTTTCCACTGCTTGATAGTCTCTTGCATTTGATTTTTTTCAGAGTACTGTAGTTTTCATTGTAGAGGTCTTTCACTTTGTAAGTTAGGTTAATTCCTAAGTATTGCATTTTTCTTTATGCTATTGTGAAAGGTACTGTTACCTTAGTTTCTCTCTCACTGAGTTTATTACTGGTGTACAGAAATGCTACTGATTTTTGAGTGTTGACTTTGTATCCTGCTATATTACTGAATTTGGTTATTAATTCTACAAATCTTTTGGTGGAGTTTTTGGGATCTTCTCTGTAGAGGATCATATCATCTATAAATGATAATTTAACTTTTTCCTTTCCTATTTGTGTCCCTTTTCTTTCTCTTGCCTAATTACTCTGGCTAATGTTTTTGAGAAATATATTTAGCAGGAGTTATGATAGGGGACATCTTTGATTTGTTCCTGATTTTAGAGGGAAAACCTTCAGCTATAATAACCAAATTCAGGTAACAGTACCTTTCACAAAGTTATAAACCACTGTTCTCATCTTTTTGTTTTTTTCATTTAAAATAAAGCAAGATCAGATGATCAGAACTGCTAATCTCAGGAACAAGCAGGTAATTCTAGTATCTATAATGCAACTCCATTTTTTCCTGTTCTGGACTTAAAGTTATGTCCCTTGCTCCAAAATTCCATTCTACTAATGAGTCAGTATATAAAACAGTGGTGGTGAACCTATGGCATACATGCTGCAGCAGGCTATTTATATCATGGAAAGCTCTAAAAAATTTGCCATCACTGCTACTGAACACAACATGGCAGAAAGAAATTAAATTCAGTCTTTAAAAAAAAGTCTATAAACTCAGTTTCTATTCACACATAATATACATTCAAAATGCTTTGGACTGTAGATAATATTTGAGATAAAAGAAAGTAAAAGTGGATTTCTGGTATTTTATCAATCAAAATTCTATTTTCTCCAATCTCTAGGCATGTAACTACTTCCCAGAAATGGCGTTTATAATAATAACCAAAAGATGCTGCTAAATCTTAAATTCCCCCAAATTAAATTAAATTAGATTGGTTAAGGTATAGCTCAGTGTAAAACATGTGCTTAGCATGTACAAGACCCTAAGATTGATTTCCAGCATAAAAAACAAAAACAAACAACTGAAGTAGGATTTTTTTACATTCCAATTCTCTGAATACTGGTAATCTATGTGCTTGCCTTAACTAAGCAATAACCATATCCTTTCAACATGATGGATAAATATTTTGCTAAACAGTACAGTGATTATAGTTTCTATGTTACTCTGTACTATTTTCCATGCAGAATTAAATAACTATCCATGAAAATTAGAAATTATCTGATACTCTGATTGGAGAATGAGTATTTCAAAATGCATGCAGAGTCAAAGCACTCTTTTACACTCTCTTTTGACTGTTAGTTTTGTAAACAACATTAAAAAATGATCTTATACAGGGTGCAGTGTGACCATCTGTAATCTCAGCACTGGGGAGGCTGGTACAGGATAACTTCCATGAGTTCCAGACCAGCTTGGGCTGTATTTTAAATTCAAATCCAGCATGAACTACTTAGTGAGACCCTATCTCAAACACCACCAAAGATCTTATAATGGTAAGAATACACAAATGAAGAAATAGATCTAGTAAGAGTAAGTGACTCATACATATCTAGATAAATAGGAGAAACATCTGACTCTAATCTGAAGAAAGACTTAAGGCAGATAATGCACTTTGTGTTAAATTCGGACTAGTTTTGTAATAAATGATTAGCAAATATGACATGGGTAAATATTTGGTACCAGGACAAAGAATGGTTTTATTCTATATAGGAGATAGTCCTGGAAAGAAGTTCATGAAGCAGTTACTGTTGAAAACTGTTGTGAATGTATTATTAGGTTGGAAATAAAGATGTGTATTGTATACATTTATAAAAATATATTTCTTCTTTTTTTGCAGTGCTGGGGATAAAACCCAGAGCCTTTTGTATAAGGCAAACATTCTACCTGCAAGCCCTCAAAGACAATTTTAAATGTGTGATAAATAAGTTTACACTATTGTACTTTAACTCACTTTTCTGTTTTGAAGAATATTGCACAACCGTCCACATGTTTTCTCTCCTGCTCAGACATGATTTTGGCACGTGACTTTGGAGAAAAAAATCCATCATACCCACGCTCCTTCAATGCTGGCAGAAAGAGAGTGAAGTATTGCTCTGTTTCTACTTCCTGAGATGAAAGAAAAGCTGTTATCTACATGACAGAAGTAAACACGGACAGAGACATAAAAATATTCTGCATTATGAATAAGTATGATTAAGTTAAAACAATTCATGTAAAAGATATTATCTATCTTACCTTATCGCTAGCAGCTGCCAATGGCAGCTTTTAAAACATGAAAGAACCAAAAAAGTAACATGATTTTCTCATGTTCATTCAGCTAGGAGTGGAATTACATCCCAGGTCTCTAGGCTCCTGATGTAGAGTTCACTCCAATAGATTTCACTTCCTCAAGACTACTAGTACTTCAAGTAAGTTGAGCATACAATAGGTTAAGGTAGTCGGGAATAATAAATTTCACATACAAAGAAGTAATTTTTTAAAACAATTTTTTTTCTGAATCATAGTTGGTATGATTGATACCCAAAAGTGAGAAACATAAAATCAACAACAAAAAAATCTACTTTAAGGAATTAAGTTCTTGGATACCAATCAACAATGTCCTCTCATAAGTCATTAAGTTAGACTTTTTATTCTTTGACTTAGTAAATATTTTTAACAAATCTTTCCAAAAAAAATAATACAAAGATAATATTTACGTATAAAGATGCTCCTAACAGTATGATTTTATAACAGCATAAACCTATAAACAATTAAATGTTCAACAGTAGGGAAAAAGCCAAATCAATTTATATTCATATAATTGGTTTTGAAGAATATTAGTAACATGGAAAATGCATTAAGTGCAGTAAACACACAAGCAAAAAATGCCAATAATGTGCTCTCAATTTTATTTTAAAAATATATCTGTAAATAACTCAGTAAGTGAATAGAAAAATGTGTAGAAGAAATCACTCCAAAGTTTTAACAGAGCAACTATTTTTAGGACATGGAAATAGGTATTTTCCTCAATAATGTTTACGTTTCTTCAAATTTTTCAACTTTTCTAGAATGAACAATTTATAATAAAGTATTACATAATAGAATTTTCTTAAATTACAATTTATCCTTATTTACACTTAGAATATGGAGCTGTTATTTCTATAAATAAACCAAACTATAAAATAATTACAACAGCCTAATTTTATGTGCTTCTTCCTCCTAATTCTGTGACAGCCTATGTCTATCAAAAAAATATTTAATTTTTGGGAGATTTTTTTATTTTGTTATTTTCTCGACAACATACCTTATCAAAGAACTCTATTAGCAAATGAATATTTAAAAGTAATAATTTTTCTTTATGCTGAGAAGATGTGAGAAATAACACATAAAATCGTTTAAACCTCTTTAAGAAAAGTAAGTGAGGTAATGGATATGTTAACTGAGCTGATTTGATCATTCTACAAAGTACGTATGCATTGAAATACAACACTACATACGATATATACAATTATTTTTCAGTTAAGATTTGTAAGGCATCCTTAGGCACTTAATATGCTTTGAAAGTCACTAAGAATAAATTATTTAAAACTATCATAAATCTTTTTGGCTAATCATCCACTTTCCAAATATTGAAGTGATAAAACACATTTCATAAAACTTTTATTTCTTCACTTAAATTCATTATTACAAAGTGTTATTAAACAGAAAACTGTGCTATCTCCCTCTCCAATTCCTGGTTATGTAACTTCTACTACTGGGGCCTGAGGCCCTTCATTAGTGCTTTGTCTGCTGTGGGATCTGAGCCCTTAACTGGTCTTTAAAGGAAGCAATACTACTATTTTAATTATTTTGAAAAGCCCAGCACATATAAATCTCCCTAAAATAAAACTGCACAAATTAACCAAGTGGGGGAGAGGAATTCAAATTTAAGAGATGGCTTATAAAGTAAAATAAAAATGGGGCCAGGTATTTAGCTCAGTGGTTCCACCTCCTGCCTCACAAGCACAAGGTCCCAAGTTTGATCCCCAGCACCAAAAAATAAAATAAAATAAAGCAAAAATGTATATATTTTTTCTCTGTTCACTCTATTTTTTTCAGTGCTGGGGATTGAACCCAACTGTAGGCAACTGTGGCAAGCATTATTTTTCCCCTGAACTCTTAATGAGTTAAATTTACATTCCCCAAAGACTGGAAATCTTCTGCAATTTCCTTTGTCAGCAGTACCAGTGATTTGTTCATGAGGTGAATGTTAACATGGATAATGGGTAAAATTATTATAACTTTGGAAAATAATGAATGTCAGTGCATGGTTGCACTCAGCAAAATAGTTCAACTGTAAAAAATCTCCTAAATGCTTATTAAAACTTCTTTTCTTTAAAGAGGGAGAGAAAGAAAATAATTCCTTTTGAGTTTTTCTTTGAATACAGGGTCTCTGCCAGAGGTAAGATATTCTATTTTTAAATTCACCTTTAAATTAAAGACAATTTATTTTCCATAGTGTTACCTGAAGACTAATGATATCTGCGTCACAGTTAACAATTTCTTCCATAATTCCCTTTTTCCTGTATTCCCAGTTTAATGCCCAGGATGGGCAATAGCCATATAGCTGCCGGGTAGCGTATTTATCACATAACACATTGTAACACATAACTGTGAATGATGCTACGAAGTGGGAGAGAAAACAACAGACAAAAGGGAAAAATTAGGCATATAAGAAAAGCCATGCAAAGCAGTTATCATGTGTAACATATACATATATACCCATACAGTTACTATAAGATGTTTGTAAGATATATCTAATAAAACTTTATTTAAATCCCTCATACAAAAGCTTAGCAGTCTGGAATTAGACTGTTCATATTTGAGATTTGGGAAAATTTACTTAAACAAATTTAAAAGTTCAAAATTAAATCAAAGTAATAACGTTTATTTGCATAGGTTTTTATAGAAATGGAACAAAAAGTAAATTTTGGTTTCATTCTAATAAAGGGCTTTAATCTTATTCCTTTTTTATTTTGGTTTTTTGAGACAGGGTCTCACTATGTAGTTGAAACTGACCTGGAACTCATTAATGTAGCCCAGGCTGGTCTCGAACTCACAGTGATCCTCCTGCCTCTGCTTCCCAAGTGCTGGGATTACAGGTGTGAGCCACCACGTCCAGCTAATCTCATTACTTATTACCAAAATACCCAAACTTAATACTTTTCGGGGCTGATTACTGCTTTGAACCATGAGAGTGTGAACTAACAAAGTTTATTTCAGAGGAATCCATTTTGCCAATCAAATGTTCACTTTTGAAATAAAATTCTCCTTTAAAATGCCCTTGAATAATAAAAGGACTATGGGCAAACTAATAGTCCAGAGAAGATGGTTTGCATCCTCATTACTCAAAGGTGCGCTCGCTCTAAGGCCCAGGATCATCAGGCATCCCCTGGGAACTTAGAAATGTAGAATCTCTATCCCCATGAATACCTATGGAATAGAAATCTCAGTTTAACAAAATTCTCTGGGCAATTCACGTGTGCACATGATTTTTATCAGTGATTCTCTATCATGGGTGCCCATTAGAATAACTTGGAGAAAAAAAAAAAAAGACTGATACCGAGGGTGTGACTCCAGATTAATTAAATTAAAGTACTATACTAAGTTCTGGGTGATTTTATTACTACACGGTTTTTGTACATAATGATGGCATTCTTTATGGGGAGTTGGTGCAACACATCTTAATTCTTTTTTCAATCTCTTTCCCTCCCTCCATCTCATGCTCTCCTTCCCTTTTGCAAGAGATCTATGTCCAACTATCCTTTATTTTGTTCTTTATTTATCTATACTTTGGGTTTCTCATATAAGAAAAACCATGTAATATTTAAGCTTGTGTGTCTGATTCATTTCACTCAAAGTATATCCATTTTCCTACGAACAACAAGTGTATACTTCTTTATGGTAGAGTAGTGCTCCATTGTGTATAAATAATTTTCTTTATCCACTCATCTGCTGATGGACATACAGGCAGGCTCCAAGAGTTAGCTATTATGAATTGTACTGCATGTATCCCTGAATTGTCTCTACTTCTTTCAGGAGGATAAGTTCTAGGCATTTTTAAAACACAGGTGATTAGAAGAAGCACTTGATTAAAGTTGGTTCCATTTCACATGATGGGAAAAGTATTAAGAGAAACTTAATTCAATGGTCTGCTAGGTACCTGTCTGGTGGTCATTTTGAAAACTGGGAACTAAATTTCAGTTTGAGTTATCTGTATTCTCTGATTATTTTGGAACTCATCCAGAACCATTTCCAACCCAGTACATATATCATGAGAACACTGAGTTTATTCTGCTTCTCTGTATTTGAAATGTCCTTTGGAAGTAAGACAAAGAAGCAAAACACTGTTATTTGCTTCAGTCATATTTTTTTTGCTAAGATTTTGTGAAGTGCAATTTTATAGAAAGGCCAGAGATTACCACTGCATATACAAAAATCTATTGGTACAATGCCTTCACAGGTGAACCTTTTAGAGCTTGCAATGACACAAACAACCTGCTGAAGCATGCATGCCATAGGTACACCAACCACTGGCCTATAATTTTTAAACAGAAGGAAAAACTAGCTAAATTACTGTTATCATTACTCTTATACTTCATTTCATTTCTACCTTCCTTTTCCATGACCTATGGAGTTTATTAAAATTACTCTTAACCATCATCAGTTATTAAACACATCCCCAATTCACCAGAAATAAAAAGCATTTTTATAATCATTCAGAATCTTAAAGAAATGTCAAATGTCCCAAGAAAAACCCTTACTAGTTTTTCAATAAAGGAAACCCTAAGAATAAATTACTTTCACAAACTAGTGAAAACTTTTTGCTGTTCCTTTTCTTAATAGAAATGTAGCTGTTCAATACTAAGAAAGCATTTCATCAGGAATATGCCTACTCACGTTTTAAAAAAAGGATTATTAAGAACAACTAGAAAGTGGAATTTTTAGTATCAGAAAAGGAATAGAGAATAACTAGGGAAAGCGATAGAAAAAATAAATCTACCTAACTCAAGGATTTACAGAAAACCTTAGGTATTCCTTTTTTAAACCATCAATGTGCACCCTGACAGTAGAAGTGCTATGCACAATAACAATGACACAGTGCCTCTTATAACAGGCCAATACTACATTTCTAGAATGTTTTAGTTTTAAAATTATTACTTCCAGTACCATAAAACTGTACTATTTCTCAGTTTTTAAAATACAAACAGAAACACGAAGCATTTACAAGAGATATTTCCCAATACTATGATAAATGTTTTGTTCTAAAACCTCTTTTTATAAAAAAGACAAAATCAGGAGGGCTTCATATTGTACAAAGTACATATAATAAATTCTGTGACTTAACCTTTAAAGGTTATTAAAGTAGAAATGTTCAGTGACTGATCTGACCTTCTACTAAGTAAGTCTTCATTCAATTTTAAAATGAAAATTATTTTAAGTAGAATTCCCAAATCTAAAATGTCTAATATGTAGTGAGAAGTCCTATAAATATCAAGCCATGTTTAGTCACTACAAAAAGAAAAAGGTTTATATTTTCTACATCATTACTGTTCCTAGACATGCTAGATTATATTAATTACTCAAGATATTCACCTTATCCATTTTTATAAACTTGGATGGGAATATTTTGTTTCCAGCACCATTAACTTAACCTACCATTAATTGTTATCAGTCCACCTCTCAAGAAAGATAAATTACTAAAGCAGTTTGAATTTTTCATTTCAGAAAAAAATTCATTATTACTCATTTTTCTTAAATCACTCAATACTATATGGGAAGACGCCATTTGGAAAGCTGTAACAGCAAGGAATGAATACATATATATATGTATATGTATGTATGTGTGTGTGTGTGTGTGTGTGTGTGTATACATACATATATATATATATGTATGTATACACACACACACACACACACACACACA